CTATTGCCTATGGATCTTTCGCTAATAATTCCTTCCATGTATTCAATTTAATCCAGTCTGCAGAGGAGGAAAATTAAGGTTGGGGATTCTTGAGTATTTTTTTTCTTGGATTGCATGAAAAGGAGTCCATATTATGTTTGTGTGTTTCATTTACAATAATCGATCCTAAATGAAAATAAATAGATAATTATTCTTCATAGCAGATATAGTTCAATATTCTGTGTTCTGTAGTGTTAGCTAGGAAAGTAGCTGTTTTCCATTATATATTTGGAACAAGGATTTTCTCATTTTCATAAGGACACTTCATATATCACAATATCTAAATAACACCAAATAGTTAATTCTGTTAGATGAAAATTATATTGTATACCTGATGAATCACCTATTGCCTATGGACCTTTCGCCAATAATCCCTTCTTTGTAGTCAATATACTCCAGTCTGCAGATAAGTTAGAAAATTGAGGTTGGGGATCCTTGCGAATTTTATCTCCTGGATTGCATGAAAAGGAGTTTCCTTTATGTTCCTGTCTAGTATCGTGTGTATTTATTGAGCTTTATTTCTGATCCTCCTGCCCAGAGCAGAAGCTTGAAATGATGTTAACTCGACCAAAATTCATATGGGATCTTTGTTTGTCTGTTTTATTGACAATAATAAGATTATTTTTCCTCATAAATGATATAAATCAATAATATGTGTTCTGTAGAATTAGCTATAGGAAAGTAGTTGTTTTCTATTAGATATTTAGAACAGTGATTTTCTGATTTTCCGAAGACACTTAAGCTATATGTATATCTAAATAACATCAAAAAAACTCAAGGGTTGATTCTGTGATGAAAATTGTGTTGTATACCTAATGAATCACCTATTGCCTCTGGATCTATGGATCTTCCGCTAATGATTCCTTCTTCGTATTCAATATACTCCAGTCTGCAGAGGAGTTGGAAAATTAGGGTTTGTGATTCTTGAGTATTTTATCTCTTGGATTGCACGAAAAGGAGTCCCTATTATGTTCGTGTATAGTATCGTGTGTGAATTTGAGCATTATTCCTGATCCTCCTGCCGAGAGCAGAAGTTAGACAACTACTAGACCAAAATACAAAAGGAATCTTTGTTTGTCTGTTTTATCGACAATAATTAGATGATTATTCTCCTCAAGAGATAAAATTCAATAATTTGTGTTCTGTAGAATAAGCTATAGGAAAGTAGTTGTTTTCTACCAGATATTTAGAACAGTGATTTTCTGATTTTCCAAATAAACATCAGCTATCTGAATATCTGAAGAACACCAAAAAACGCAAGGGTTGATTCTGTGATGAAAATTGTATTATATACCTACCTATAATGAATCAGGATGAAACTGTTGATTTCCTTCGGGTATGCAGTCAAAGAGAAAAACAAAGTGTACTCTTGTTTCTGTTCAAGCTTTCGAGTCTTTATTGGCTCTTCATCAGTAACTTTATAAAACAATTAAAATTGATATGGAAATTAAATCCTTGTTATCGATTATAAAACACTTACGGAAAATGAAGTTTTGTTGAAGCTGGCTTCCATTAAGTGGGGAATAATACATGTGTAAAAGAACATTCACAACATGAAAACATCAATATGTCGAGAAAACTTGCAAAGCATTTTTGCTGCGGCAAATATTACAACATGGCTGACAAACAGAAGCAGAACAGTAACATGGACACCTGTCTGAATGAATTATGTAATGATCAATTTACTCAATTGATCATTATACAGGGTGCGGCACCGAAAACGAAACATCAGAGGCTCTGTAGGTCGCCAAAACCGGATTATGAAGAGAATCTGAAACACGTCAACTACGTTTTCGAGGGGGACATCGTCCTACAATATTTTCAGCCCTGCGGCGTTGCCGCTGCTAACGAAAAGAAGCAACAACTTTGTTATTTCAAATGGAACACCTTGTATTTCATTGCATTTTTAGATTCTCCCCGAAGAGCTGATTTCATCAATGCATCACACTTGGGGTCTAGCTGTAATGGTTTCAGGGATATAAAGTGTTCAAAATCGAGATTTTTCAACTTTGACATTTTTTTGTGTCGAAACTATTCATTATTGGTCGAAACGGCTCTCATGTCCCTATATAAACTTGTGATTTACTGTCTACTGACATTTAATTGGAACAGATACAGGGTGATCAGAATTCTGAATCTTGAACCACCCTGTATTTGTTTCAAATAAATGTCAGTAGATAGTGAATCACGAGTTGAGATCGGGACATGAGAGCCGTTTTGACCAATAATGAATAGTTTCGACACAAAAAAATGTTAAAGTTGAAAAATCTCGATTTTGAACACTTTATATCCCTGAAACCATTACAGCTAGACCCTAAGTGTGATGCATTGATGAAATCAGCTCTTCGGGGAGAATCTAAAAATGCAATAAAATACAAGGTGTTCCATTTGAAATAACAAAGTTGTAGCTTCTTTTCTTTAGAAGCGGCAACGCCGCAGGGCTGAAAATATTTCAGAAAGATGTCCCCCTCGAAAATGTAGTTGACCTGTTTCAGTTTTTTTTGGATAATCCGGTTTTGGGGACCTACAGAGCCTCTGTTTCGTTTTCGGTGCCGCACCCTGTATAATTCATTCAGACAGGTGTCCATGTTACTGTTCTGCTTCTGTTTGTCAGCCATGTTGTAATATTTGCCGCAGCAAAAATGCTTTGCAAGTTTTCTCGACTAAAATCAAATATAATGTAATAATTTTTATCTACTTTCAAAAATATTGATGTTTTCATGTTGTGAATGTTCTTTTACACATGTATTATTCCCCACTTAATGGAAGCCAGCTTCAACAAAACCTCATTTTCCGTAAGTGTTTTATAATCGATAACAAGGATTTAATTTCCATATCAATTTTAATTGTTTTATAGAGTTCCTGATGAAGAGCCAATAAAGACTCGAAAGCTTGAACAGAAACAAGAGTACACTTTGTTTTTCTCTTTGACTGCATACCCGAAGGAAATCAACAGTTTCATCCTTAACTTAGACAGTCGTCTAATCCTCTCCTCTATAATGAATCACCTATTGCCTATGGACCTTTCGCCAATCATTCCTTCTCTGTATTCAATATACTCCAGTCTGCAGGGGAGTTGAAAAATCAAGGTTGGGAATTCTCGACCAAAAATCATAAGAGATCTTTGTTTGTGTGTTCCATTCACAATAATCGATCCTGAATTGAAATAAATACTTGATAACTATTCTTCATGACAGATATATTATTCAATATTATGTGTCCTTTAGAATTAGCTAGGAAAGTAATTGTTTTTTGTTGGGTATTTAGAACAATGATTATCTTATTTCTCCAAAGACACTTCACGAATATTAAAATAACACCAAATGAATTCAAGGCTGATTCAGTGATAAAAACTGTATTGTATACCTATTGAATTACCTATTGCCCGTGGATCTTTCACCAATAATACCTTCTTTTCATTCAATATACTACAGTCTGCAGAGGAGTTAGAAAATCAAGGTTGGGAATTTTCGACCAAAAATCATGAGGGATATTTGTTAGTGTGTTTTATTCACAATAATTGATTCTAAATAAAAATAATTAGATTATTATTCTTCATAACAGATATAATTCAATGTTCTGTGTTTTGTAGAATTACCTAGGAAATTAGTTGTTTCCTATTAGATATTTAGAACAATGACTTTCTGATTTCTACAAAGACACTTCACCTATCTAAATGATTCTGAGGGTTGATTCTGTGATGAAAATTGTATTGTATACCTAATGAATCACCTGGATGGATTTTTCGCCAATAATTCCTTCATCTTATTCATTATACTCCAGTTTGCAGAGGAGTTGAAAATTGAAGGTTGAGGATTCTTGAGTATTTTATTTCTTCGATTGCACGAAAATTTGTATCTCTATAATGTTCGTGTAGTATGTCGTGTGTGAATTCCAGCATTATTTATGATCCTCCTGCCGAGAGCAGAAGCTGTGTTTTATTCAGAATGATAGATAGTGAATAAAAATAAATAGATAACTATTCTTCATAACAGATATAATTCAATATTATGTGTCTTGTAGAATTAGCTAGGAATGTAGTTGTTTTCTGTTAAATATGATTCTCTCATTTTTCCAAACGCACATGAAAATTGAGGTAGGTAATTGGTATGAAATTCTTCAGAAACCTATCCCCGGAAAAGTAACAACTCTTCTGAAAATAAAAAACAGGTTTTTTCTTTTTATCTTCCTTGTATATCAAGCTGAAGAGACGAAATTTGGTAAATATCATTTGTCAATAACACTAGGTAGTTTGGAATGGTTTCAACCCTGAAGCATGCCTAGAAAGGGTTGAAATATTCATGTTTCCTCACAACTACTCATGGATACAAATTCACCTTTTGGAAAAATCATGGCAAAGTTTTCTGAAAAACTCATGGAGACAGAAAAATTAGTGAATTGATTGGGCTCTGAACGTGACCATTATGATGTTGCATGTTAGCCAAAACCCTAGTTGAAAAAATTTAATACCAACAGTTTGTTGAAATTTCCGTAACTATACGACCATCTAAGGGGGCATCATCAATTTTTCAAAATCTCACTATGGGCCGGTCCGGCACTGTGCAGTTCATCCATGGTGTCTGAGCAAATAACATAGGGAATTCGGAAAGGCATGAATATATATAGCTTCCCATTTGATATAACGGAGTTCCAGTATAACCGGAAGTGCCGCCATCTTGAAAATATTTTCATTGAATAGGACCCAATCGATAACCCTTGTATACAAATTTTCAGATCAGTTTCATTTTGAGAACTTCACATACCTACGTCTGATGTGATGTTTTGATGGAACATCCTGTATAATATCGATTCGAAATCGCAGATGATTTCAGTGCAATATGCAAGAAGTTAGGTGTTTGGGTTCATTACTCAAAAGATCATTCCATCATGACAAAAAATGATTGCTCATTTGTTGATATCGCTTTGTATACATTGGGATTTTAAGATGAACTTGTGACCTGGGAAGACCAGATGATAATATTCAATATATTTATAGGATCAACTCGTCAGGAATGAGTATCAGTATCTCAGAAATTTTGTTACTGTAGTTCAATTTAGTCAGAATGATGAAGTTGTTAATTTTTTGTGCCCTAGTATGTAGCAGTTTGATATGTTGTGAAGGTAGGTCATATAAGGTTATAGATATTGAGTTTGTAACATTGTGCACTGAATATCATGGAGCATAAGATTTCAACAGAGTAATTTCTGCCAGCTATGGTTCATTTATTCAATCTTGCAAGATTATTTGGGATTTTTTCTCCCCGTTTCAATAAAATGAAAATATGAGTATCATGTACGTGTAGTTGGACAAATCAAATGATTTGTCCCAAACTGCGTTTAAACATTAGGATTAGAGAGCTCCTTAACCAAATTCTTGGGAGCCGCCATAGACAAAAAATTAAAATTTGTTAGGCATGTCGAGCAACTCAAAAGTAAAATATCCTCTGGATGCTACGCAGTGAGGGTGATTTCAAAAGAGCTTGGATCCCAGACTGCTAAAACAGCATATTATGCCTTAATTGAGTCACATTTAAGGTACGGGATACCTTTCTGGGGAGTGTGTAACCTAGACCTACTCGAAACTGTGTAGGTGCTTCAAAAAAGAGCAATTCGATATATTTACAAATCTACAATTTTGACAGTGATATCTTTGTTTACATTAGAGACCGTATGCTTGGTGAGGAAACACTTCACCAAATTTGACAGAGCTTAGTCCAATTATTCCACACGCCACAGTATCAATAGTTTGAAACTGCCGATACCCAGCACGTCTTTAGTGAGAGATTCCTGGTATTACAATGGTGTTAAATTGTATAACCACTTGCCAAACCATGTTAGGGGTGCATTAATAGATATTGAAATATTCAGGAATACTGTCAAAGAACTACTGAAGCACAGCATTGAAGAATTCTACGATGGGTATGCTGATTAGAATTCTTGTGATTATATACTTCATTCTAATCAGGTTTAATACTGTCTGTAGGTTAATCGAGGAGGTGGTACATTCATTTTACTTGGTTCTTTGGGATTTTCTCTCCTCGTTTCTATAAAATAAAAGTATTCGTATTATTTCAATATATTTGTAGAGGGACAAATTAGATGATTTGCCCCAAAATGTCACTGCTTTTAACAAATTTTTCTATCAGGGAGTCTAAAAGAAAAATCCAGTAGCTTGTCAGTGACAATTTGTTTGAAAAAATTTTTGAAGGAAAGAAATATACAGGGTGTCCTTAAAAGGTCTTTACAAAAAGCTACCACATATTCTTCAGACCAAAACAATTCGATACAAGCAAACTTACCTCAGTAAAAAGTTGCTTAGTTTGGGCGCTAGACGGCTCTGAAGTTGAAATTTTCAAATCGATTTTGCTTCATAACTTTTGAACGGCTCATGAGATTTTTTTCAAATTTGGTACGTTGGCATAGACTCATCGGGCAATGAAACTCATATCATAATCATAATGAATATCATTCCATGGGCGTAGAACTTGATTTTTTCAGGAAATAAACATCTAAAACTCCTACGCCAATGGAAAAAAATTAGTTTCAATATGAAATCTGAATTATTCAACTAATTCACTACAAAAAAGGTACTCTTGACAAAAGTCGATTCCTCTCATGGTTTCGACAAAATTTTAATTTTAGTGATTTAGAGCATAATTAATAATAAAACGATTAACAGATATTTCATAAAAATTTTTCAAACTGTTCACCATTTTCACGTATACAAAGATTTATACGACGCAAAAAGTTGAAATGTACTCTTTGCATAACTTCTTCATCGCCTGTAAGATTATTCGTCGCCTGTTGGATACGTTGCCATAATTGTTCTACAGTATTCACAGGGGTCTTGTAAACCGTAGACTTGAGATAACCCCATACAAAATAATCCATCGGTGTTAAGTCTGGAGAACGTGGTGGCCAATTCACGGGTGCATCATTACCTCTACCTATCCATCTGTCTGGGTACTGTTGGTTTAAAAAATTCCTAACATCCACCGAAAAATGTGGTGGAGCTCCATCGTGCATAAACCACATATCTACCCGATGTTGGAGTGGTAAATCTTCCAACAAATTTGGCAACGTATTTCGTAGATGTTGTAAATACATGTCTCCTGTTAATCTTTGTGGAAGTATGACAGGACCAATTATAAAATTTCCTATTATTCCAGCCCAAACGTTGATTTTGAATTCGTGTTGAAAATGGTTTATTTTAATGGAATGAGGATTTTCAATTGCATAAACGTGTTCATTATGAAAATTAGTTATTCCTCTTCTCGTGAAACAGGCTTCATCAGTGAAAAAAATATTCTTTCCTAAGTTCAGATTCATTTCTCTTTGCAAATTAATGAACCTACAAAACATCAGACGACTTTGTGAATCATGGATTAATAAATCTTGAACTGGCGTCTTGTGGTATGGGTATAATAATTGTTCTCTTAGTACTTCATGAACGGCATTCCTAGAAACTTCTAGTTCATTACTTATCCGTCTAGTACTCAATTCTGGATTTTCTTCAATACGGTCTAAAATTTCTACTTCGACTTCGGGAATCCTTACATAACGCTGTCTTCCATAATCACCAGTTCTAGGAGCGAAATGACCGGTCTCCCGAAGACGTCTCTCAACTGCAGCAAAGGTTGGGTGGCTTGGTACGCGACGATTTGGAAACCTTGCCGAATACACCCTCACACTCTCTCGACCATTTCCTTGACAATATCCGAATACCAATAACATATCGGTGTATTCTTCATTGGTGTATTGCACGGCCATGATGAATCAGAAAAGTCCGATATCAACAATCAACGTCAATAAAACTCGACAAATCAACACAGATGAAACTATGGAAACCAAGAATGTGAATATCACTGTTTTCGAGCAGATAATAATAGTCTTCAGAAAAAAAAAACCAGTGCTACTTATTTTCAATGGAAATAACCTATGCAAAAAGTACATCTCAACTTTTTGCGTTGTATAAATCTTTGTATACGTGAAAATGGTGAACATTTTGAACAATTTTTATGAAATATCTGTTAATCGTTTTATTATTGATTATGCTCACTGAAATTAAAATTTTGTCGAAACCATTCGACCATTTGTCAAGAGTACCTTTTTTGTAGTGAATGAGTTGAACAATCTAGATTTCATATTGAAACTAACTTTTTCCATTGGCGTAGGAGTTTTAGAAGTTCTACGCCCATGGAATGATATTCATTATGATTAGGATTTCAACTTTTTGCGTCGTATAAATCTTTGTTCACGCGAAAATAGGAACATTTTGGAAAACTTTCATGCAATATCTATCAATCGTTTTATTATTTAAATATGCGCGAAATCACTAAAACTTAAATATTGTCGAAACCATCAGAGTAATCGAATTTTATCAAGAGTACCTTTTTTGTAGTGAATGATTTGGGCTATCTAGATGTCATACTGAAACTGATTTCTTTTCATTGGCGTAGAAGTTTTAGATGTTTATTTCCTGAAAAAATCAAGTTCTACGCCCATGGAATGATATTCATTATGATTATGATATGAGTTTCATTGCCCGATGAGTCTATGCCAACGTACCAAATTTGAAAAAAATCTCATGAGCCGTTCCAAAGTTATGAAGCAAAATCGATTTGAAAATTTCAACTTCAGAGCCGTCTAGCGCCCAAACTAAGCAACTTTTTACCGAGGTAAGTTTGCTTGTATCGAATTGTTTTGGTCTGGAGAATATGTGGTAGCTTTTTGTAAAGACCTTTTAAGGACACCCTGTAGATATATTGAAAAAATATCGAATTTGTACTTATCTTTGGACGTTTCGGGACCGATTCTGCTCCCGTTCTCAACATGTAAATGCAAATTATTTTTCTTTGAAAGTTGTGCTGCGTATAGTTTGACACTTTTCAGTGTCATACTGATGTTGGCATATGAATGAGTGATTTTAGTCTACAAATGAGATACAGGATGTTTTCATTAATTGATCTTGAATCTACCATTTTCATGTTCAGTTTTCAGTAGTGAATACCATGTTCTATCAATATCAACTGAACAAGAAGCAATGCTATTGTCTCCGTTTAGAAGAATGCAAGCGGATTCCTTTATTTTTCTTTTTTGTTTGTTATCTTCCTTTCCTATGATTTTGATATTATTCCACTGTGCCATATGTTGTCCATCTTCAGTGAGGATATGTTCAGTTAGCTTCGATTTATCGATATGTCTTTTCTTGATATTGTACTTGTGTTCTTTTGTCCTTACTGATAGAGGTCTCTTCGTTTCACCTGTATAATACTTTCCACAAACACAAGGTATACTATAAATACAATTTTTTGATGATTGTTCTTCATTTTTTGGCTTTGTTTGAGTTAGAATGGATCTCATTGTATTTTCAGTTTTGAACACAGTTTTCACTTGGAACTTATCACCAACACGTTTTATTTTTTCAGATATGCCGGGAATGTACGGTATTATATTCGTCGTTATTGATGGTTGTTTTTGTTGTGGTGTATTATGTTTGTTTTCAATTTGGTGAATCGTTCTATCAATGAAGTTCCTTGGATATGAGTTGAGTTGAAGAACATCTCTGAAAGGAAGATAACAAACAAAAAAGAAAAATAAAGGAATCCGCTTGCATTCTTCTAAACGGAGACAATAGCATTGCTTCCTGTTCAGTTGATATTGATAGAACATGGTATTCACTACTGAAAACTGAACATGAAAATGGTAGATTCAAGATCAATTAATGAAAACATCCTGTAACTCATTTGTAGACTAAAATCACTCATTCATATGCCAATATCAGTATGACACTGAAAAGTGTCAAACTATACGCAGCACAACTTTCAAAGAAAAATAATTTGCACTTACATGTTGAGAACGGGAGCAGAATCGGTCCCGAAACGTCCAAAGATAAGTACAAATTCGATATTTTTTCAATATATCTATATTTCTTTCCTTCAAAAATTTTTTCAAACAAATTGTCACTGACAAGCTACTGGATTTTTCTTTTAGACTCCCTGATAGAAAAATTTGTTAAAAGCAGTGACATTTTGGGGCAAATCATCTGATTTGTCCCTCTACAAATATATTGACATAATACGAATACTTTTATTTTATAGAAACGAGGAGAGAAAATCCCA